TCTGATTTAGCCGGCTAGGCTGATTTTTAAATATCGACTTAGTCAAGTCAATAAATAATGGTCGACTACAAACACTATCGGTATCCAATACTGTACAACTCTCATATGATTGGATCCAAAATTTCAGGTCGGAATCCGACCTGGATTTTTGTGATCACTATATCCGTTAAAGCTGGCCAATCATTAAAAGAATACTATAGGAAATTTTGTGGGTGAAATGCCCGAACGCTGAAGGTCGATAATCCTATATACTCACGCCCTAATAATATGTAAGTGAATTATTAGTTATTTATCAGGATTAACTTAAGAATACTTATTATTAAATACTTACGCGCTAGTAGGAAGTTTAGAATTATGTTATTTTTTTAGAGAAATTGACTTTAATAATGGTTATGTTGGTAAATACTCACGCTCTGAAATAATTGAACCATTAAAATTATGAATTTTATTGATATGAGTTTCATTTTAAATTACTAAAAATTAATTTTATGACTCTAAATACTCACTCTCTGATATAATTGAATATGTATTAAATTATTTAAAGTTATAAATTTTATGATATGAGTTTTATTTAAATTATTTAAAAATTATTAAAAATTGATTTATGACTTTTAAATACTCACTCCCTAATTGTGCAAAGCGATTAATAATATAAACATGTAAGTTGTGCAGCTTATTCATGATTGATTTTAGATTCTAACCTTTCTTCTAACGTTAAAAGTACTGATCCCGAATGACTACGAGGTGTTAATGGTGTTAAAGGTGGGGATAAAGGTGTTTGAGGAGTCAAAGGTGTCTGAGGAGTATGCTCTTGATATAGAGTCAAAGGTGACCGAGGAATAGGTATAGTTAATGATGCTTGAGGAATAGGTTCTTGATATGTGATCGAGACATCTTCAGTGACTTGAACAGTTTCTTGGCTAAATGCTGCTAATTCGATAGATGTAAATGTTGATTGCTCCATTTTTTTCTATAACTATAAAAAAAAAAAAAAGGGCTTTCAAAAGAATGAATTGGTTAAAATTGAAATTGAAGGGATTTATTCTATAAAATTGTAGAATAACAGATAATATTTTAAAATTCGAGTTATATAAGAGCTCATATTTACAACCGAATAAAATTTGATGTTATACAACGGTACAATCATAACGATATACTTCCAAATTTATTCATGATTATTTACGCTTCACTCTTGTTAATCATTTAAATGTATAGTACGTCCGAAATGCTAACACAATATTGTTGGAAGCAAAACTGTTGTCAAATAGGAAGTTCCAATCAACAAAGCTTATCGAGAAGTACAAACTAAACATCTAATTTTCTTTATTTGTTCTTTTAAACAAAATATTAGTAGTACCTTATGTCGAGGTTACTTTGAGACTACTTTAAAATAAGTTATAATATCCGTTTTTTATACTTTGCATTAAGATGCATATTGCAGCATTAAATTTCCATGTAAGTCAGAATTTTTTTCCTTTTCGATAGTATTCTTGATAGTCTTTTCGATATCGACTTATTATGTACTGATGATGTCATTTTTATACTGTATAAACATTTTCTAAAGAACATTTATTGCTATATAATTATATTCTTTTATAAACTTTCCATATATGTGATGACTTTTTCTTACTATATAATTTATATTGTTTTATAAAATTTCCATATATGTGAGGTTATTTTGTAAAACTTCGGAACTTGTAAGAGCATCAAACCTCCATATACGTGATGTTATTTTGTAAAACTTCAGAACTTGTAAGAGCATCAAACTTCCAAATCTGGAAATTGATATAGGGTGTATATGTTTACAAAATTAAACAGGAAATACCAATCAGGGACGATTGTGTCTCGAAGAGTAACGGTAATAACAAAGGTTATAAAGATCGTTTAGAATAAACCGATGCTAATTCATCTCTGTTGCATTATTATGTTTAAAGTTTAAAGGTCTAAATATTCATTCAATAGAAAACTATTTTCTTTATAATTCTTTTCAATAAGACGTACAATTATTATTATTATCATCAGAATATAAAATTTTTATTTGTTGGAAAAATTGTGCTACATTATTATGAATCGATTACAACCGCAAGATTAAAATAAATAATATTAATTCACGACACGGAAAGTTTCACCGATATATTATAATAATTATCGCAGATCGGAATAAAATTTAGATCTTGGCTATTTTACCCGTGTCCTAGATTTCGTGATTCGTGAAAATTAGTATAAAACTTTGATTTACTAATAATAATAATAATAATAATAATAACAAAAGCCACTGTTATCAAATCTTGTCTAATTTATAAAACATTACAAAGCGGGTGCGTATCAAACGTACTACATAGGTCATAGGTTAATAAGTAATGTTCTTGAACAATAATACTATACAAATTATCTATCAAGGTGTCATAAAAACTTGTATATTTTTGTTATATTAAAATACAAATATAGACACACGTGCGGTTAGTCATAACTTAATGATGCTATCCAAAAACACATCTATTGATGCTTTGTATCACTTTGACTAAGCATCAATGTTAAATGTCCTCATCACACTCTGGGCAATTAAACTATTAGAACTGATTTGAGAGTGAAATAGTCCTGGCACAAAATCTGACGGTCCCGTTTTTTACCCATTCGAAGAAAAAAAAAATAAAGACGAAAAATAACAAGAAATCGCATAAACTTATAAATTTGCTACGGAAACTATTTTTTTGTTATTAAGTAAATTTTTTCGGCACAAACTTTAGATCTATTTATTAATGCAAATATTAATATTTAGAGGAAATTAGATAGTATCATTGTCGCATTAGTCACGGGACCGCCAATTTTTTGTGCAATGCTATATCACTCGATTGATTCAGCAACTTTTACACAAAAGTACATAAAAAAGGATATCTTGAGTAATATTTTGCTTCATTACTTAACCATTGAATTTACATTTATTGCAATAAATATTTTAACATCTCATTTCTGCTATAAGAACACAAATAATATCGCATTTCTTTTATTTCAAAATTTCACACTATGCTTCCTTTAAATCACTGTCTAAACCCATACAACGATTTACCTCGTTTTTTTAATGCTAACAACACCTCCATAACCGTAATCGTTTTTTTACTTTCGTACTCAATGTAAGAGACAACGTCTCTGAGTACTTCTTGTAAAAAAATTTTCAATGCACTTCGAGCTTCCTCATATGTCCCAGCCGATATTCGTTTAACACCACCTCGACGAGCTAACCTGCGAAGATCAGGTTTGGTAATTCCCTTAATATTTTCGCGAAGTAATTTCTAAGTTGATAAATATCGCAAAATATAATGATTAATAACATTTATGACGTTAATTACGCATGACATTAGTTAATTGTTTTTTTTTTTTTGTTTATGCATCGGTTATTATAGACAAATATTTAGATTTTCTTACTCTATGCCTTTTCCCTTTGCCTTTTCCTAGCCCTTTACCTACTCCCGCTCTCCCTCGACCTAATGGAGCTGTGTTGGCAGTAATCATTGAGATTTTTCCGTACTATAGTCTTTTTATTTTAGTAATACGTAGATATCTATAGATCAAATGATCAACGATTAAAAAATATTTTCATGTTATCTATTTACCTTTTATCCAGTGATAAAAGATATAAGAAAATATCAAAGTGATACTTCTATTATTAAATATTTATATCGCGAAATGTTGGCATTTTTAATTACAATCTCTGACGTATTATGCCGTGTAGCTAAGTTTTTTTTTTTTATTAAAAAAGTGACGAGAAGCTCATATGGACTGCATTAACATTTTTTCACAGTTAAAAAAAATATATAATGATATCATTATATATTAAATATTGATGACGTTCTTAAAAAAAAATTTCAGAATACAACAAAATTTCTAATTAAACTCCTATGAAGCAATCATATTGTAATAATAACATAAGTCATAAACGCTGCCTATAATATCCCCAGTTTATTATAACCCTAGCTAACTTGAATGATATTTGATAGATCACAAATTTTAGAATGATTTACGGAATATCTTTTATAAGTATTGGTATTCATGTTCAAATAAACGTAGTAAAAAAAAAACATCATAATAAAACCTTGTTTTTTAGGAACACAAATATTTTAGAAGTGCAACAAATAACAAAGCTCAATTTCTAACCTCAGGAATAATACACGACATATTATTACTCTACACACATAAAGTATTTACCGTACTCCCATTTACTCTACACAAAACACGATGATCAAAATAAAATGGAGCAATTCAAGGTAAACCGAATTTCCAGTCACACTAAACACATTATATGAAATCACAACACAAGCCCCTATTCCTCCGTTCATACCATTTTATGTTCCTTTTCTTTTTGTAAAACAAAAATGAGTATCACCAAACAAATCCCAAAAATTTTATAATGTATACATGTTTTGTTTCGTAGCACTTTATGTAGATAAACCAAAAAAAAAATTGCATTTCAAACATCGTACTGTATGATCAATTTTGTATTACTAATCAAATTTAGATTATGAAATTTTATCGATATGGATCTCTGTAGCAAAAAAAAAAAAAAAAAAAAAAAGA